CACCCTCCTCCTCCGGAAGCAACAGCAAGAAGTCATCGCCTGCCTCTCGCCGGCTCCTCCGAACGCCGAAGTGTGCCAGGTGTCGGAACCACGGTGTCGTGTCGTGTCTGAAGGGCCACAAGAAGCTATGCCGATGGCGAGACTGCCGCTGCGCCAACTGCCTGCTGGTGGTCGAGAGGCAGAGGGTCATGGCTGCACAGGTGGCGCTCAGGAGGTCAGTTCTGCGAAGGTTTTTTTCTTATTTTGTGTGTGTGCAAAAAAATGAGAAGGGGAAGAAGGAGAGAGAGCGAGAGAGGGAGAGAGAGAGAGAGAGAGAGAGAGAGAGAGAGAGAGAGAGAGAGAGAGAGAGAGAGAGAGAGAGAGAGAGAGAAAGGAGATGAGAGAAAGGAGATGAGAGAAAGAGAGAGAGAGAAGGGAGGAGAGAGAGAGAGAAGGGAGGAGAGAGAGAGAGAAGGAAGGAGAGAGAGAGAGAAGGGAGAGGAGAGAGAGAGAGAGAGAGAAAGGAGATGAGAGAAAGAGAGAGAGAGAAGGGAGGAGAGAGAGAGAGAAGGGAGGAGAGAGAGAGAAGGAAGGAGAGAGAGAGAGAAGGGAGAGGAGAGAGAGAGAGAGAGAAGGGAGAAGAGAGAGAGAGAGAGAAGGGAGAGGAGAGAGAGAGAGAGAGAGAGAGAGTGAGAAAGAGAGAGAGAGAGAGTTAAAGCGACAGATAAAGCAACAGAGAGAAAGAGACAAGAGACAGACAGAGACAAGAAGGCAAACAGACAGAAAGACAAATAGACAAACAGAGAGAGGAAAAGAGAGAGAGAGAGATCCGGAGCTACCTTCGCAACAAATCATATTAGCTACGTTAATCCTTCACATCTTCGCTGTGATTATTACCACGTGTGGCAGCGAGTCTCAAGCCTTTTATATTTTCTTCTTTGTCATATGATACGGTCACAACCCTGACACATTTTCTGGATTTAATAATACTTTAAGTCTGATATTTTTGTATTAAACACAATTCGCAAGATTTGCAAAACACGAGTTCAAATGCCTTTTACATCTTCGATCCCTGCAACATGAAGCAAGAGAGTTTATGGCGCGCACAAACATTCCTCCGAAGATCCTCGCCCGCTGCCTAACCCTCTTCCTTACACATGAGTAAATTAATCCGGTGCTGAGCGGCGTGTACTGATCGTATTTCGCGTTCAGTTAGCTTTTTTTTTGTATTTTTTTCTGTTCTTTCTTTCTCCGAGCGCGGGCCTCCGTCAGCTGTAATACTTCACAGTTTGTTATGAAACACTTAGCTTCAGCGCCCCTTCGGCCAGGAACATCATCATCCTCTTCACCCGCTGCTCTTCCGCTCCGCTCGCGTGTGTTTGTCTTCTCAAGTTCGCTACCGTTTAGCACTTTTCCGCTCACTTGTGTGCGTGTAGCAACATACGTCAAGATCATGTTCTGTTTACCAACCCCCGGTTTCTGGTCCCGAATAAATTTGGCTTTTTAAGAACTGCGATTTTTCTTTTCTCCCTCCGGCGAGGAGAATGAATTGATAAAGTAGGATAAACAGGATGCTAAACTTAGCAGCTTCTTTGAGGAGCAAGTGTCTCGAGCGAGCGCCCTCCACAGCGAGTCTCTCTCAGCCACTTAATAACACACCGTTAATATCTTATGGACACATCTCATTTACGCGATAGTGTCTACATCTCAGGGCTTTAATGAATAAGGCTGACAGGCCCATAAACCCCTCGAAATAACCGAGCGAGTGAACTTGTAAGTGAGAGGTGGACGTCAGGACAGCGGCGCGCGCTAGCCCAGCTGAGGCCACCTGGCTCCGGGCTTGGGTAATGGCCCTCTGTTTACTCTGCACCTCCGGCCACCTTTCATGTCGCCTAGTGGCACTAGCCCGCACTAGCTCCGGCTATTTAGGGCAGGCTACAGGCCCCGGCATCAAAACCGTCGAGACATATCTGGGGGGGGTCGTTGGGAGGCTTGGGGGGAGGAGGGGAGAAGGAGGTCGAAGTATATCGCACGGAAAGAAAAATAAAAGATAAAAAAGTAAAAAGAAAAAGAAAAAAAAAAAACTTACTTTGAGCAATACAACAAAGGCGAGCAGCTTGAGAACCCGGTTTGTTTAGGCACGCGAATGACTTTGCTGCCGTTCATCAAAAGATATAGACTGTCAGAAGGGAAAGCGGGCCAGTGTCTCCTCTCAAAACACGGGAAGCGGAAATGCACCTCCCTCCGCTGCCCCGACGAAGAGCAACATTAATATTTACACGAAAGTTAATATCGACAGTTGTAACGCCACTTTGCTTGAAGGAAAGCAAAAATTAATTAGCAAGTGACTGTTTGTTTCCTGTGTTGCGTGCTTCTATTTTCTTCTTCTTTTCTTTTTCTTCTTCTCTTTCTTCTTCTTCTTCTTTTTTCCCTTTTTTCTTCTTCTTCTTTCTTCTTCTCCATTTTTTTCATCTTTTTCTTTCCCTTTTTTTCTTCCTCTTCTTTTTTCTTCTTCTCCATCTTCTTTTTCTTCTTTTTCTTCTTCTTCTTCTTCTTCTTCTTCTTTCCCTTCTTTCTTCTTCTTCTCCATCTTTTTTTTTTCTTCTTTTTCTTTTCTTTTTCTTCTTCTTCCTTCTCTTCTTCATCTTCTTTTTTCTCTTTCTTTTCTTCTTCTTCTTCTTCTTCTTCCTCTTCTTCTTCTTCTTCCTTTGTTTTTCTAATGCCTCTTGATTTCCTTTTGACTCACTCCAATTTATATTCATATTCGTTATTTGAATATCATTAATGATTACAAATTTCGCCAAAACCACTTTGCCATTTTGATAATAAGACTAAAGTGGATATGATACTTTATGATAAGAATTTTCATATGTCTTTCCTAATCAGAACTCTTGCACGATAACGATTATGAATATGGTGTTAGTTAGGATAATGATTATCATTTGGTCCCTGTATTATTTTCGTGGTGAACATTAATACTGATAAAGCCTGTGTTATTGCTGTTAAGAGTCACTGCCACTTATACTGTGTTATTGCTGTTAAGAGTCACTGCCACTTATACTTATATGAGGATGAATAACTTAACGATACTTATATAGGAATGCATTACTTCCCAGCAATACTTAGTTAGGAATTAGTTACTTCAACAACAATACTTATATAAGAATTAATTACTTCACAGCAATACTTACATAGGAATGAATTACTTCATAACAAAACTTATATAGGAATGAATTATTTCGCAGCAATACATATATAAGAATGAGTTACTTTACAAAGTAATTATTTTACAAAATAGTTTATAATTCCCAGCTGCCATAATTATCATCATTCATCATCATCATCATTATCATCTTCATTATCATCATCATCTCATCAAAATACCATCTTCTCTCAAGCTATAAGATAAAATCACAATGATAAGCACGTGTTCAAAAAAACAAAAAACAAAAATAAACAAATAAACAGAAGAGGATCGAGAGAAGAGTTGTAGGATCTGAAAGCAAAGAAAGGTACATGTCCTCCCTACCTCCCTCCCTCCCTCCGTCCCTCCACATGCCTTCCTTGCCTTGCTTCCCTCCTTTCTTCCCTCCCTCCCTCCCTCCACATACCTTCCTTTCCTCACTTCCCTCCCTCCCTCCCTTCACATGCTTCACTTCCCTCCCTCCCTCCGTCCCTCCACATGCCTTCCTTGCCTCACTTCCCTCCCTTCTTCCCTCCCTTCTTCCCTCCCTTCTTCCCTCCCTCCCTCCACATACCTTCCTTTCCTCACTTCCCTCCCTCCCTCCACATACCTTCCTTTCCTCACTTCCCTCCCTCCCTCCACATACCTTCCTTTCCTCACTTCCCTCCCTCCCTCCCTTCACTTCCCTCCCCCCCTCCCTCCCTCCACACGCCTTCCTTTCCTCACTTCCCTCCCTCCCTCCTCCCTCTCTCCCTCCCTCCTCCCTCCCCTCACATACCTTATAAGACAAATCACAATAATAAACACATCTTCAAAAAAACAAAAACAAAAGAGGATCGAGAGCAGAGGCATTGCAGGATCCGAATGCAAAGAAAAGGTACGCGATTCCCCCCCCCCCAGTTCTTTGCATCATCGATCAAGTCTTATCAAGTCGATATCACTCTTTTGTTTGCCTTCTTCTCTCTTTCGTGTAATTCGATCTGGTGCTTCGTATGACGCTTTATCAGAGGTCGTTACTATTGTTATGCATCGACGAGGAAGTGATGGATGTTTTTTTAAAGAGATTTAGAGGGGGAAAGTATATTTCATAGCTATTTTTTTTACTCTTTTGAATTATCTAGTGTGTGTGTGTGTGTGTGTGTGTGTGTGTGTGTGTGTGTGTGTGTGAAAATATATAGGTTTGTCTGATATTTATAAGGATTTCTTATCTTCATCAACAGAGTAAGTTTTAGTAAACCAATTTTTTTTTTTTTTTTTCTAAAACTCAATGAGACTTGAGATCTTTTATATATAGTCGTAAGACGCATATATATATATATATATATATATATATATATATATATATATATATATATATATATATATATATATATATATATATATATATATATATATATATATATATATATATAACAATTCACATCGCAGAGTAAAGACAGAAAAAGCAACCCAATTTACGCCTTATATCGGATTCAAACTTATCTCTTGTGCGAAACTCATGGACAACGCCTCTTTCTGTTTCCTCCAGTAACACGAGAAGTAAAAAAAAATGGAGACAGTGCCACTCTTGCCGGTTTCCTGATCGCTATCGAGTCGGCAAGACCACTCGCTGTGCCTTTAATTCGGTGAAAATTCGGGGTTTTTTTTTGGTCGGATTTTCGGATAAGAGAGATCACCTTTTTTCTGTACCGATTTCTGTGGTTTGAATTCTTTGTTTTTTTTTCGTTTCTTTTTTATTTATTTTTGTTATTGTATTCCCTCTTTTCCATAATCATATGTCTATCCTCTCTTCCCTCCCCTTACATGTCCTCCTTCTCTTCCTCCCTCCACATACCTTCCTCCCTCCCTCTTTCCCTCGCACACCTCCCTCCTCCCCTTCCTCCTTCCCTTCTCTCCCTCCGTCCCTCCCTCTCTCCTTCCCCCCCCCCTCCCACATACCTCCCTCCTCCCCTTCCTCCTTCCCTTTCTATCCCTTCCCTCCCTCCTCTCCCTCCCTCCCTCCCCCTCCCCTTTCCTCCTTCCCTTTCTATCCCCCCCTCCCCTCCCCCCCCGCATACCTCCCTCCTCCCCTTCCTCCGTCCCTCCCCTTCCTCCTTCCCTCCCCTTCCTTCCACCCTCCCTCCTTCCCTCCTCTCCCACCCCTCCCTCCCTCCCCTCCACCCATCTAACCCACAGGCCCTCTTCCCTCCCACAGACAGCAAGCATCGGAGAGCAAGGACGCTCCGCCCACCAGCACCGCCAACAGCACGAGTTCAGTGGCGTCCTCAGAGCCCCCGCCCACAGCCGCCCGTCATGAGTCGCAGGCCACGGCCGCCGCCCGCGCGAAGCTCAAGTCTGCCGAGGCGCTGCTGGCCCAGAAGAGGCTGTACCAGAGGCACCTGCGCTCCCTGCAGCAGTCGGCGCTCGCCAGGGACCTCATGACCAGTGAGTGTTTCGAGGAGGACGTTTTAGTTAAAGTTTTATTTATTCATTTATTTATTTGTTTATTATTATTTATTTATTTTTATCTATTTTTTTATTTCTTTTTACCTTTTTTGTGTTTTGAATATTCTTTTAGCAAATCGAGTATTTCGATTACTGTTATTATTATTATCATTATTATTATTATTATTATTATTATTATTATTATTATTATTATTACTATTATTATCATTAGTAGTAGTAGTAGTAGTAGTAGTAGTAGTATCATTATTGTCATTATTATTATCGTTATTATTATTTACTCTTGAGCAATTTATTTTAGAACATATCGAGTATTTGGGGCATTTCGAGTACTTTGGGTATTTCGTGTGAAGGGGGCATCTAGAGTATTTTAAGCTTTCCGATTATTGTGGGTAATGGGGTAAGTAATAGTTGGTTTTCTACTATATATTAGAGATTATGGCACGCAATTGCATATCACATGCACAAATACAATAACGCCAGCATGCTAATATTCCGTTCTCCTTCCCTTCCTCCTCTTCATCTTCCTATTCCTCCTCTTCCTTCTTTTCCTCCCCCTCCTCATCCTCATCCTCCTTTTTCCATTTCCTCCTCCTCCTCTTTCTCCTCCTCCTCCTCCTTCCCCCTCTTCTCCTCCTCCCATATTCCTCCTCTTCCTCCTCTACTTCTTCCTCCTCCTCCTCCTCCTCCTCCTCCTCCTCCTCCTCTTCCTCCTCCTCCTCCTCCTCTTCCTCCTCCTCCTCCTCCTCCTCTTCCTCCTCCTCCTCCTCTTCTTCCTCCTCCTCCTCCTCCTCCTCCTCCTCCTCCTCCTCCTCCTCCTCCTCCTCTTCCTCCTCCTCCTCTTCTTCCTCCTCCTCCTCCTCCTCTTCCTCCTCCTCCTCTTCCTCCTCCTCCTCCTCCTCCTCCCCCTCCCCCTCCTCCTCCTCTTCCTCCTCCTCCTCCTCCTCCCCCCCCCCACCCACCCATACACGCATACACCCCATGGTCCTTCCCCCACCCTCAATGCCTTTCCTATAGGGACGAAAAGAGAGAAAGAGAGAGAGAGAGAGAGAAAGAGAGAGAGAGAGAGAGAGAGAAAGATAGATAGAGAGAGAGAGAGAGAGAGAGAGAGAGAGAGAGAGAGAGAGAGAGAGAAAGATAGATAGATAGAGAGAGAGAGAGAGAGAGAGGGAGAGAGACAGAGAGAGAGAGAGAAACAGATCGATAACGAACCAAAAAGAACAAGAGCGAGAAATCTAAAACACCTATAAAGAGAGAGAAAAGAGAAAGTGCAAGAATAAGAAATAGAGTGATAGAGAGAGAAATGAAGAGAGACAGTTCACACCTTCCTCTCTCACTCCGCTCTCTCACCCATCGCCAGTTCCTTTACACGCCCGCACGCCCGTGAGAAGAGGCGACGGCACGCGGCCAGACAGACAGACAGACATCAACGAGGATCTCGGTTTCTCAACTTGTCTCGAATTCGATTTTTATTTTATCATTTTTATTATTATTTTATTTATTTTATTTATCTATTTATTTATTTTGTTTTTGTGAAGGGGGGGGGGATTTTTTTGTTCCTTTTTATTCGTTTCTTTTTCTTCTTTTCTTTCTTTCTTTCTTTCTTTTTCTTTCTTTCTTTCTTTCTTTCTTTCTTTCTTTCTTTCTTTCTTTCTTTCTTTCTTTCTTTTTCATTCTTTCTTTCTTTTTCTTTCTTTCTTTCTTTCTTTCTTTCTTTTGAGTGGGGTTATTCTGATACTTAATTTTCTTTTAATTTTTTTCTCATTTTGTATTTTTCTCGGGGGGATATTATGTATTTTATATTTGTTTCCTATTTTTTATTACTATTCTCTCTCTCTCTCTCTCTCTCTCTCTCTCTCTCTCTCTCTCTCTCTCTCTCTCTCTCTCTCTCTCTC